GAAATGACAACCAACTTCAACATTGACATAATATTTGAAAAAACACTCAACTATATCTTCCCTGAACAATGCATCTGGATTTCTAGAAATATAAGTCTTTCGTACGAGCAGCTATTCATAATGATCAAAAGGTTTCAAGATATACCGATGAAGTCGAACGTTTGCAAATATGAATATGTAATTTAATGCCAAGCAAAAGTCCCAGCAAGTTAAACGAAGGTGGAGAAAGTCCTCAATACAATTAGAAGCAACGCAACATAAAATCTCTACTAATATATCATTTGAGAGATAAGATAATAAATATTTAGCTGACATTGAAAACGATGGAAAATCTATGAAAATGATATATAACATAATTAGAAAGATACACGGAAGATAAAGTATTGAGGACTACTTGATTCATCTCTTATATATATAGTGTTTGACGCTAGATAAGATAAAATCTAAAGAAAAAGAAAGACGCGTTTCAATGGAAGCGTTTTCCCCATTTTCAGAGAATATCTACCATGTCATAGTATTTTCCATTATTATTCAGAGAATCTCTATCAAGCTGTAGTGTTTTATCCTATCCGAAATGAAAGGCGCGTTCCAGGGGAAACGTTTGTCATTATTATTCTGAGAATCTCTGCCATGTCATAGTGTTCCATTCCATCCAAAATGAAAGGCACGTTCCAGGGAAACATTTTCCATTATTATTCAGAGAATCTCTACCATGTCATAGTGTTCCATCCCTTCTGAAATAAAAAGCGCGTTCCTGGGAAATTATTTTCCATTATTATTCACAGAATTTGTCATATCTTAGTGCTCCATCCCATCCGAAACAAAAGACGCATTCCATGAAAAGTATTTTCCATTATTATTCAAAGAATCTCTGTCATGTTCCATCCCATCCAAAATGAAAGGTGCGTTCCAGGGTAAGCATATTCCATTATTATTCAGAGAATCTCTGACATGTCATAGTGTTCAATATCATCCGAATTGAAAGGCGCGTTTTAGGGGAATCGTTTTCCATTATTATTCAGAGAATATCTGCCATGTTATAGTGTTATATCCCATCTGAAATGAAATGAATGTTCTTGTAGAAGCGTTTTCCATTATTATTCAGAGAATCTCTGCCATGTCATAGTGTTCCATCCCATCCGAAATGAAAGATACGTTCCAGGGGAAACATTTTCCATTATTATTCAGAGAATCTTTGCTATATCATAGTGTTCCATCTCATCCGAAATGAAAGGCACATGTTTCATTATTATTTAGAGAATCTCTTCCATTTCACATAATTAACATGAAATCTCTTAAACTATTCAATCCTAAAACTCTGTATCTTTGAAATCTCAAACTCTCAAACGTGTAAACTTTCAAACTCTCAAAATAGGAAAATGACTCATATTCTAGTTGTTGTTTACTATGATGTAGAAATTGGGGAAGATTAATATATGGTTGTTTTTCGATTAGATCATTATATCATTATGTCATTAAGAAGAAACATCACTCTTCACGATTTAATCACAAAATCTCAAGAAAGGCTCATGTTGGAAATAGTATAGCACTAGCTACACTGCAATACAGATTTCTGACTAAAATTTTTTCGTTAACATATACATCGTTTAATCTCTCAAATAACGATGATGTTATAATGATGGTTAACGGTTTCAGTCAAAATTCGAAGTCTATTACATAAATGTATGCCAATTTTGTTGACGTACATCCAGTTCGGAGTATATATTTATCCTCACACTATGGCTTGCATGAACCAGTTGATCAAGTTAACAGTCAAACTCAAACAATCTGTAATGATTTCATGTCATTAATGGCTAACCCACCTCCTATTAGCATACCATTAAGTTCCAAGGGAAGACATTCATTTGCCACTTTTTTCGACCTCAATATGGAGATGCCTTCCAGTTCTAGGGGGAGACATTAATCTGCTATCACCTTTGACCTCGATAGGGCAATGTCTTCTACACAACACTCAATTCATAACTCATATTCTCCAGAAGAACCTCTTCGTATGCCAGGAGCATATGGTGCTGAAACTAGATTATTACTTGAACCTGAGTCGCCACAATTCAAAATGGACTCTGATGATAATTCGGTTGAAGTTCCTACAAGTATGGTCATAATTTCCTGATATGCCTCATCCTGGAGACTATGAGAGGCATTCATCAGTTAATGATGGTTATTTATATCATGGAATGGAGTTCACATCTAAAGAAGAAGCATTGATGGCATTTAAGAATTACAATATTTGTAATTCAATTCAGTCTAGAATCAACAGATTTACCACCGAAAAGTATGTCTGTTATTGTGTCCAACGTGATAACGGCTAAAACTTGATGATTCGTGTTTAAAAGAGGAAGAAGATCGACATATGGAAACTAACAAAATACAATGGTCCCCATACATATTGTGCACAGGGGATCAAACAAGACCATATAAACTTGGACTCCAACGTGATTTGCCAAGCCATCATGCCCTTGGTCAAAGAAAGTTCCCACATACCTATTGCAGTGCTGATTTCTGCAATACAATCTCAATATGGGTACACCGTCTCCTACAAAAAAGCATGAAAGGTAAAATAGAATGTCATTGTAAAACTACACGATGAATGAGATTCATCTTACAACGAACTACCAGTTGGTTCAACAATTGAATCCTACAACAATAGTTGAGTTCGAAACTCGCCATGCCTACCATAATGATCTAGTTCTTCGAGATTGATGCCAATTCCACCGTGTTTTTTTTAACTTACCCACAATGCATTAATACAGTGAAATACTATAAACTCGATGTCCAAATTGATGGTATATTCTTGTATGGAAAATACATGTAAGTTTTATTATTGGTAGTTATCCAAGAAGATAATTGCAACATTCTTCTCGTTGCCTTTGCCCTTATTGAATGAGAAGATACAGAGTCTTGAGCTTTTTTCCTGAGAAATCTACGATTACATGTTATCACAAGGGAATATATTTGTATCATTTCAGATCGATGAGTTGTGATCAAAACAACAATGAACTCTTTGGGTCCAATGTGCAAACCCCCATACGTCCAACATCATCTCTATATTCGACATATTGTTCCAAACTATCATGACATATATAAGAAGAATGATGAACGCCAATTAATTATACACGTGGGTATGTTATATTTTTCCCAATTTCATTTCTCACTCATTTTCATTTTTTATACTAATTACTTCATTTTTCTTAGGTTATGAACTCTCACCTCAAACGTTTGAGGTTATGCTTCAAGAATTACGAGAAAAAAATGAACATGGATACAATTACATTAGTGAAATCAACAAAGAAAAGTGGACAAACACATACGATGGTGGATATTGATATTGACATATGACAACCAACTTAGCTGAGATAATCAATTCAACAAAGAAAAGGGTCCTCGTCATTTACCAGTAACTACTTTGGCTAAAACGACATATTTTCGTTTGGGTAAACTTTTTGCCAAGCTTAAGGGACAAACTCTTACTTGGGATACAAAACACTCATGTTTATCACCCACGATTAGTAGCAGATCTTCAGCAAAATGTTGTAGCATCAAACAACATGTCCTAATAAGCTTTTCTCGTACCCAATAATTATTTCGTGTCACAAAAATGCCACGACCTCTGCAAGGGATTGAATCTAACTCTTTTAGAGTTAATCTACGATATAGATGTTGTGCCTGTGGGGTTTTCAAGCTTTGAAGTATCCATGCTCCCATGTCATAGTAGCTTTCTCATTTTCTCGTTAAGACTATAAGCGTTATATGGATCCCAATATCAACTTTCACAAGTATTCAAGACATATGAATATGAGTTTCCCCCATAGGTAATGACAAAAACCCAAATGAGGTTCAGACTTGACTTTTAATTATACCATATATGGACTTATTAAAAGAGTTAGGTCGTCCAAAATCCACTCAAATTCATTCGATATGGATATTCGAGAGACGTCTAGAAAAAACTTAAGATATGACCATTGCATAAATCCCGACCACAATAGAAGAAACTATCCATCTCTTTCATCATCACGTAACCGTTGACCACCACTCATGTAATCATATTTTCTAATGTTTCAACTTATGTTATTTGATTTTCTCTTAGTTTCAATTAATGTGATTTCAACTTGTTTATTTTACAAGATGACCATTTATTCTATCTATATAATTTTCCAATTAAATGTTTAACGTTTATTTCTTACAATTTGACATACAATCAACATTAACCATACCATACTGTAAAAACATAAACATTCTAACATACAATTAATTTTAACCATAAACTTCTTTAAAAACCCTAAATCATACAACTATAACACCCTAAACCAATAAAAACCCTAAAACCAATTACAAAATCATTACAAAACCTTAAAACTACTTTAATATAAAACCCTAAACAGAGCATGAGAGGCACGTTCCGTACGACGAGCCATTTAAGGGAGGCGCGTTCACTAGGGCGTAACATTTATAAATCTCATGGAAGGTGCGTTTCATGCGAAACACCTTTGCTCCTCCGACTAAGGTGTGTCTCTTACCTCGTGCCTCATTCTCTCTCCTAAAAAATGTGTTAGATCAAAAAATAATTAAAAAATAGTGTTTGATAGATAATATTTTAAATTGCCTATAAAAAAGCTTCGCCGTCAACTCCGAATCTAACATACGAATACTGAAGTTGACCCTGACTGATACAAACTGATACTTTTTTGTAGATATAAAGAGCTGACGTGTCGTCCTTATGTTGACCCACAACTTATCCAAATCTACAAAAACTCTCCGTACAAAGCGTGGACCCCCACCCCAACAGCCTGTGTCCTCTTCGTATTTTCCGTGTTTCTTCCATATGCTAAGCTTCCTATAGATTTCACTTACCATTTTCTAAACTCCAAATCAAATCCTCACCTCTTTCAATTTGTTTTGTTTTAGTTTACTGTTAAGCTTCACTCAGATACTCCAAATTAAACGTTGTTGTTTAAGTGGGAGTTGGAGTGTTTTAATTTACTGTTTTATTTTCAAAAATGGATTCTTTTGCTCAAGATTTTGAGACGATGGTTTCATCACCGATGTCTGATAACAGAAGTGGAACTGGATGTCCGGCGAATTTTCCAGATGAGGATGTTGTGTTGGCTTCGAGTTGTCCGAAAAAGCGAGCGGGGAGGAAGAAATTCAAGGAGACACGGCACCCGGTGTTCAGAGGAGTGCGCCGGCGGAACTCCGGGAAGTGGGTTTCTGAAGTGAGGCAGCCTAATAAGAAGTCGAGGATTTGGCTGGGGACTTTTCCCACTGCGGAAATGGCGGCGCGTGCACACGACGTGGCGGCTATTGCTTTGAGAGGGAAGTCAGCTTGTCTGAACTTCGCGGACTCAGCTTGGAGGCTTCGTTTGCCGGCTTCTACCGATCCAAAGGATATCCAGAAGGCGGCGGCAGAGGCGGTTGAGGCTGTTCAAGTGGTTGAGCAGGGAGATGAAAACACGTGGATGGGGTGTGAGAGCGAGTTTTATTTGGACGAGGAGGCGGTTTTGGGGACGGAAAGGTTTATGGCGAACATGGCGGAGGGGATGATGATGTCGCCGCCTCGGTTTGGGTTTAACGTGAAGGAAGCAGAGTTTGATTATGTGCGTCTATGGAGTCACTCCATTTAAAACCAGTTGTGTTTCACACATTTCAAGTACAAATAGGAGCTTTAGTATACATACATATACCCCTGCAGTGTGACATGAATTTTTTTTTCAAAACACGGATGAATCTTTGGATATCAAGAATGAAGTTGAAGTCATGATATATTTCTTACTGTTTCATCAATGTTTATATGTATTTGAAACAAGTTGTTATAGGATTCAGTCGTAAAAGAAGATCTAATTTTTCTGAAGGATTTGTATTTATTGGTTATCGTTTTTTATTTATTTTCCAAAAATTTGATTTGACATAATCACAACATAGAGAATCTTTAGTTGGCTGGCCTTGTCCTTCGTTGATTTTTTTTATGGGCCTTATATCTATTTCTTTATTCAAAGAACGAGTGATGATTGTTGAAAGTCAATTATTGCTTAGATTTCATCTATCGTCACTTGACAACAACCATAATACCTCCCTTTGAACTCAATGTTGAATATTTTTTTTCAGTTCATCCTTGTGTCATTTTATCTAATTTTCAAATGTACACATCATAATCCAGTAGCATCGCCTCTGGTTAATTAATGAAAGATCCAGGCGCTGTTGATATGAATATCCTAGCAATGTGTTCAGTCTACTATGATGCTTCAAGAACTGTGAAAGATGTCGATGTTGGCAAAAGGATGGAACTCGAGCACATGATCGAAGGGATGATTGTAAACAAGCCTTGGGTTACTTAGTTTCAAGGGATGGTTGGTTTAGAAGAGGAACTAAATTGGTAAAATATTGAATTGTTTAGGGTCATTTTTTAGAATTGGGACCAAATTAAAATAAATTATAAAAGTTAAGGGTTAAATTTATTTTTTTTTTCAAAATTTTAACTGTTATCATTTTATAATCTTTTATATTTGGGGACTCAATAAAAAAATATTATAGTTTTTTTAAACTGAAAAGACAGGTTAATTATAAAACTAAAAAGTCTGAAAACAAACAAGTGCTTACAACTAGCACCCACTAAAACACGCAACAAAACACCCTGAACCTAAAAAAACGCCACAAAAGCTAACTTCCTCTTCAGCTTTTCCAAATAAGAAATTGAAATGCCCAAAGTTTAAAGAAAACAAAACCCAGTAATCAAAACTGGGGAAGCTCATCGCCACATTATCAGGACTCTATCAGCCTTCTATCTTCCTTCGCCTGAAGTTCGACACACTTTGGACCTTCTTCCACCCAAAATCGATCATTTGTCCTTGTCTCAGTCGCCCTCTGCAAGCAAGTGGGATGCCATGTTACCGGCTCTAGGAAGGAAACAAAAGTGACAAGAACGAAAAGCTTGAGCGCACTAATTTCAGAGAGGTCGTCTCCTCTGGAATTGATCTTTTTGATGACCGTTCGAGAGTCCATCTCTATTATCACCTCCTGGAAACCCATCTATGCCGCAAATAGAAGAGCATGAATCGTCGCCTTCGCCTCTGCCATGAAAGCCGAGGTAATGTTATTGCTAAATCTCTTACCTGCATTGAGTATATTACCTTACATATCTCTCGCTATGTGTAACACCTTTGAAGATACTCGTTTTTATCCATTTGTTTTTATTTATATTTTTAACATTATTATAAATATTTTATTTTATTTATTATTATTATTATTAATATAATAAATTTATATTACAAGCTCAAATTACAAATCTAACCCAGACCAACCCAAACAATATCTTAAATTCGTTTAGGGTTTGTATCTCATTCTCAGTCGCCATCTATCAGCCACTGTTGGATCTCATCAGATCCAACAGTCTAGAGTCTTCCACCAACAAACCCTAGGGTATCATAACCCTAGGGACACACGGTCGTCGCCTTCGTTGTCGCCGCTCTATATCAATCCAGCTGTTGCCACGACGTTCTCCAAGACCTCCAGAAGCTTCAATGTCGATCGTCCACGTTGAGGGTTACGGTGAGTCACCACTAAAGTTTGGTGACTCACCAAACTTTGCCCTATTATCCGGTCCGAAGTCATCACCGGTGGTGGTTATAAAAGTCACCGAGCCTCCTGCCAACGAAGGAGGACACCAACAATAAGCAACCAAAAACATAACAAAAAAAAGAGAGAAGAAAGAAAACTTACCCTTGAAGCCTCGATCATCGCTGGAAGCCAAACGTCGCCGGAGAACAAAAAATACCGAAGGTATTTTCTTAGATCTACTCCAATTAGGAGTCTTTTAGGGTAAACTAAGGCCAGATTCAGCCTTAGGAAGAAAGGACCTTTATTTTCGTGTAAAAATAAAACTTTTCGGCTACCAGAGATGGTGGCTGGCGACGGGGTTGACGGCGGCAGACGGCTGTCGACCGGTGACCGGCTTCCCTCCGGTGAGGGAAGCTAGAGAGAAACGAGAGAATTTTGCATTCTCTCTCAGTTAGAGAGAGAAGGTGAAAGAAGAAAATAGAGAAAATGGCCTTAAGGCCGTATAGTTTAGGGTTTAAATACCCTTCCTCGAACAACGTCGTTTTGAGGAGGGGTCTGTGTGTAATTTATTAAAGGTTAAACCCCGTCCGCAGTCCTTTAGTTTTGTAATTTTACATTATAGTCACTGGAATTAAGTTTATAATTATTTTAATTCGACCTTTTAATTTGTTCATTTTATAATTTAGTCACTGACTTACTTATATATAATTTTAGGTGAAATAACTGAAATAACCATTCAAATTTTGTTAAAAAAATATTTTAGTTTCGAAAGCATGTTTTAATTTATTTTAAATTGATATTCGAATTCGATATATATTTATTTTAGTCACTACATTAACAAATAGGTAATATATCATGTTTAGCCACTGTATTTTTAAATAATTAATTATGATTTAGGGTATTTAATTTTAATATATTCTAATTTAGTCATTAATTTTAATATTTTCAATTACAAGCTTTATTGCTTTATATTTTAAAATATATAGTTTTAATTTTATTTATTTTGATCAATATTTAGTTGTATTTTATATGTTTATATATTTAATTATTATTATTATTATTATAAATATATATATATAAATTTTTTTATTCCTATTTATAAATTTAATTTTATAAATTATTTTTAAGAAAAGTAATTATATTTTAATATATATTTATTTTTCAATATTAAGAAAGGGCAGTCTTAAAGCAACTGGATGTCCATTTTCTGATATTTTTAAATAAATAAATATTTTATTTTTTTAAATTATATCTATTTTTAATAGATAAATGTTTTAATATTTATTAATTTTTTAATATTAAGAAAATAACTGTCTTAAAGCACCAAGAAGCCCTTTTATGATATTTCTAAATAAATAAATATCTTATTTATATATATATAAATTAATAGATTTTCTTAGAATTATAAATTTGAATATACAAGATTATAAATTAAATATAACTTTGAATTTTTATTTCTAATAATAGAGACAATTTATGATTAAATAAAGTACCAATTTTGGGCGTTATAGGGGTGCTAATCATTTCCTAAACGTAATCGACCACAAATCCTTTTTTATTAAAAATTGTTGGTTATACGCAGATCAGTTTATCTTTTAAATTATGTTTTCTTAAAAACTATTTTAAAAGATTGTTTTTAGGTATTTGACCTACCTAACCCAAAAAATGTCAATGGCGACTCCCAAAACATTTTTTTTTCAAAATCATTTATTTATTCATTTTACTTTTCCCGCAAAGTAAAAAAAATTCGTGCCCAGACGAAAACCGGTTACGACAGCTTGGCGACTCCGCTGGGGATCGGTCAAACTTTAAAACCAATTATAAGTTGTCTCTATCAATTAGAAATTAAAAATTCTTATATTTAATTTATAATCCTTTCTTTTTAAATTTTTTAAATTTTCATAATATTTATATATATTATTTTTTTATTAATATCTTACTTTAGTTTCATTTTCAAAGTATTAAATTTCATTATTTATTTGTTTGTCAAAGGTTTGAATATTTCTCCTCACACAACAATTGCATTGTATAACATAAGCTTTTATAATCAGTCTTATCCTTTTTAAGTGGGAGTGAAAGCGACGTCTTTGTGAGAATTTATTCTCTGTGTCAAACCTAGTAAGTAGCTTTTGAGGTTCATATGCTCTATGTCTTCGTGAAAATTTATTCTCCGTGTCAGGCATAGAGAAGTGTATCCCCTCGAATTGAACTCGATCCACTTTAGTCTGTGATGGACTAGGATTGAGGGTTAGCAGCCCAAGGGGGCACTAACAAGGACAATTCGGGTACCTTTACTCATAGAACTGAAACTCTGCATATAGTAAACTCTTTCGATCTGAAGATATGCTGAAATTTTGTCCAAAATAGGTATACACAAAGGAGAAATTAATTTTAACTTTTTCCTTTTAATTTATTTATTTATTTTTCTGTTAAATAAATTGTATATGAATTTAGATTATTTAAAATCATGCTATGTAAAAAGCATGTTAAATAGAAATATCTGGGTGGACATTAAATTAAATTTTTTTCTTCCTTATTATGTGAACTAATTCATTTCTTTTTATGTTTTATTTTATTTTTACTTTTTGCATAACATCATACATGATTAAAGGTATTGATTTTCGAGTTAATCATCTCATTGGAAAACCTTCATCTATGGATAAAAAATGTTCAAATCAAATAGTTCCAAACTCAGAAGTAAGACAGTGGGCTGAGGACTTACAAATACAAGGGGGAGACAATCTGCAAGATGATTATGTACCCGAGTTGGCAAGTTATGCTCTGGTTTCGCTAAAAAGAAATGATATGCAAGATTTGTGAGGCATTTGGGAGAGTTGGGATTCAAACAAAAAGTTGCAGTTCTATCAGTATTACGGGGACATCCCATATTTGCTCTATGTCGAAGTTGATGATAACTTGCTTCAAGCCCTAATTCAATTATGAAATCTTGGTTATAATTGCTTTACTTTCAATAAGGAGGATTTGGTTCCTACTATTGAAGAATACACAACTTTGCTACATATAGAAGGGGCTTTGGAAAATCGAATTTATTCAAGGTCAGTTAAAACTCAACCTTTCCGAGTTAAATTAGCAAAGATTGCAGGAGTATGAGAAGAATGGGTAGTAGCCCGCACGAAACAAAAGG